TTAAGTATTGTTTTCGTGACTACCAGTAAATCAGTAATATGAGATGTATTCACCCAATTTCGTGTAAGGTTATGAAGGACTGGTAGAAGAAGAATTTTCCCACAATGGAAACGTCAGCTCAACTCATATCATCGTGGGAAAATTCTTCTTCTACCAGTCTTTCATCACGTTAAACGAAATCGGGTGGATACATCTCATATTAATTAAAATAGTCGGTAAAATCCTTTTCGGCTTATAATTCTCGAAATATGTTTCCAAGCTATCCTACACAATACATACACGCATGGGAAATAGATGACCCCACTAGTTGTAATGGTGATCACATGTTTGCCTCATCAATAAGCCCACTACGAATGTGAGGTACAGCTTGCCTTGAATGTCACAGCTTCTCTGTAACCCTTGGTCGTGTAGCAAAGTGGCGGCTTGTCGCCACGATGCTCACTGCCCGGTCTTGAACCCATTTGGGGTATTGATGAGGTAAGCATTGCACTTTATTGTGGGGAGAACTCTGCTCTCAGTGCTTACGCATAATAAGTTGGCTAGAATTTTTATTCGGCCTATAAAATCTGGACCCTGATATTGTGAAAATGTGAACAGAAACGGCTCGGCTTCGTTATGTCTCTTCCCTCAGCCTCCTGTGTCGCTGTGACTTCGTGAATCTATCAAAGTATTCGGGGCTTACTGTGGTCTGCCACATGTCGAGATCAAGCATCGCAGTAGTGAGAGGTTAGAAAAAGCAATCATCCGGGAAGACTGGCATTAAAATGAAGTGGATAAAAGTCGCTTTTATTACAAGCTTCGCGCGCCTGACAAAAAATGTACCAGATGTTCGAATGCTTTGGGTATTTTAGTGGTCTGTTTGGAGAAAGGTGATTCTCGAAAGGATCCTCTCGACCAGGCAGCTCCAATTTGCGGATAACCCCCCAGCCAACAGATATGAACCCAGAAGGAGGCCAAGCGAAAGACGAGGGGTGCTGAGTGGATCGAGGTTTACTACCCTCGAACGGAGTAATAAACTCCTCATTGTGTGAGTGTCATGTAGCACGTGTCATGCTGCCGTGTAGTTGTGTCAGGGGTAGAATCCCTTTATGCAAATCCGCCGTGACGAATTCAGAGTGGCCTGTCGAACACTTAACTCAGGCGGCTGTGAAGCGAAATGAATCCTCGGATCCGTCCCGTTGGAACAGGCTCCACCAGGCTCTGTCTGTGCTCCTCTTTCTGTGCCCGAGGTCGTCAGTCGGTAGAGTAGCAGCAGCAT